TCCATTCTTTGGCGCTCAGCCTTCCTTATGGTCCAACCTTCACAGCCATCCATTGCAATGGGGAAAACCATAGGCTTGGCTATATGCAGTTATATAAACCCAATCAATCAATCAATCAGTCAATCAATCAATCAATAGCATGTGGTCTGTAGAAGAGAACGTTTGTATCTCAGGATTGAGCTGTGGGGTGCTTGGTGGTTTTCTTGCAGACATTTCGTGACCCAACTAGGTAACATCAGTGCTAGAAGGGAATGGGGGTTTGTGGAACGATGGAGGAGGAGGGGGGGGAGGGCTGTGGGGTCCTTGCTGCTCTTTGAGCGGTTGGTGGTTCGCTTGCAGACATTTTGTTACCCAACTAGGTAACGTCACCAGTGCTAGAGGAGAGAGGGGTTCTAGCACAGAGGATCTCGCCTAGTGGGGCCATGAAACATCTGCAAGAAGAGCACCAAGGACCCCACAAACAGCAGGCCGACTCCTCAGGCCTCAGCAGCCCTGTTTGCCATGACAACCCATCGAGCAACTCTCCGCCTTTCTCTCGTGCAGGTACGGGAAACACCGTGGCCATCATGATCAGCTACGCCAAAGGCAGAGAAATCATCCAGAAGATTGATAGCGGCTTCCAAGTCACCATGGCCATCGAAGTCGGGAAGAAGCACGGCTCCTGGATGAACAATTACTCCATTTTCTTCGTCTCGGTGTCCTTCTTCATTGTCACGGCCGCCACCGTCGGATACTTCATATTTTATTCCGCTCGAAGGCTCCGGGTCGCGAGGGCCCAGAACAGGAGACAGGTGAGGTTCTTTGCCCCCCTTTCTTCTGTACCACCTGTTCGGTTTTCTCCAGTGATTGGTTCCTTTCTCTTATAAGCCATCCTTCCTTCCTTGGGATTTAGCAATAGCATTTAGACCAGGGGTCGGCAACCCACGGCTCCGGAGCCGCATGTGGCTCTTCCATCCCTCTGCTGCGGCTCCCTGTTGCCAGTCGGCTCCACAATTGACAGGGCTTTCGGTCAGGACAGGTAGAGGGAAAAGGAGGCCACACCAGGAGGAGACTCTATGGTGGGGGAACCGGACTTCCGGTCGGCTCCAGAATTGAATGGGGGGCTTCCGGTTAGGACCTTTGTGGCTCTTTGAGTGTTTAAGGTTGCCAGCCCCTGATTTTGACTCACATGCCACCCCAGCACACACGGAGAGGTTTATAAGGTCAGCATATTGACCTCCCCCAACCGTCTGGGTCCTCATTTTACTGACCGCAGAAGGATGGCAGGCTGAGTCAACTTTCAGCCCTGTCAGGGTCGAGCCTCAGGCTGCGGGCAGAGTTTTGAATAGTGATGCTTCATAAAGGCCTGTCAAAAATGATCGGTGCTTAAGCCCACCCCCTCGGGCAAATTCATCCCTGCGAAGTGGAGGCCACCAAGGTATTAACGTACATCCGGATACATCACTTAACCATAGAACACATTTCTTGATTTCGGAGGAAATTGTGGAATTTCTATTGTGCCTGAATTCTTTTTTTTCCTTTTCTAATGGGCCACCCTGGGTTCTATTTGGAAATAGTCTTGTCCCAGCCAGTATATACTCTTATCTAGATCATTTCAGCTTTTGGTGAACAGCTGTTTTCCAAGGTCGGTAAATAAATTCTTGGAATACTTTTTGTGGGTTTTATTTAAAATAGCTCCAGCAATTTTAAGAGTTGGCCAGGACTTCTCACCTCCAAACGCCTTGAAGCCAAACCGGTGTGTCCTCCTTTACAGACTTTCCGTGCATAGCTGGCTTAGCATCTTGGAGGCTCCCTTTGTGGAAGGCATTTCAAGTTCTTCCAGTGGATAATTACAACCTTTTGCTGGCTTCCCTTATCCAAACTAAAATTAATTTGCCGAGGCTTAATGAGTTGCCTCGGTGCGAAATGAATGTGTGCTAGCTCATCTGTATTTACAGCCTCATAAAAGGATGGGAATCTTTCGAGATCATTAAATATCTATGCCGGCCTAATCTCATGCCCGCCACTGGATGTGGCTGGGAGCCTCTGAGATCACTGCAGTTTGCAGGGGGTTTTTTCCAAACCGTATCCACAGCCGTCGGCATTCATCAATAAGATTAAAAACAGAGAATACAGTTTTGCTACCATCTTGGTCACGCCAGCCAGAAAAAACGGAACTACTTCTAGCCAGATGAGGTTCAATATATGTGCATTCTTTTCATTCTATGGGGGGAAAATGGCAGAGACCAGTTCAAAACTGGTGTATGATTTGGCTCAAACGTAGCAGAAATCTGCAGAACGGCATCTGAAGCGAGCTCCATTCTGAGCAGTTCATATTCTCGTTTGGTTTGATGAAAAGAAGGACCAGGGGAGACATGATAGCGGTCTTCCAATATTTGAGGAGCTGACCCGAAGAAGGGGCAGTCAGCTATTCTCCAAAGTACCTGAAGGCAGGACAAGAAGCAATGGGTGGAAACTAATCAAGGAGAGAAGCAACCTAGAACTAAGGAGAAATTCCCTGAGAGTGAAAACAATTAATCAGGGGGAAGCCTGCCTCCAGAAGTTGAAAATGCTCCAACACTGGAAGCTTTTAAAGAAGAGGTTGGATATCCATTTGTCTGAAGTGGTTTAGGGTTCCCTGCCTAAGCAGGGGGGCTGGACTAGAAGACCTCCAAGGTCCCTTCCAACTCTGTTGTTGTAAAATGTCTTGGCTTTGCAATCGTCCTGGCAATTTATTTTTCTTGTTCTTTCCGGGGTCAACAGTTGCACTCTGTGATTTAGGGGCCAAGTCTACCAGGAAGCAGGAAGAAAGGGAAATTAGAAAAGGGAAAGTTTGCTTCTTGGCTTCCTGCTGCCTGGGAGATGTAAATTTTACTCTGAAGTCTCATCGTGATCCAGATATGGATAAAGAAAAATAAAAAGAGGTTTAGAAGAGAAACTGTAGGTGCTCCATCACTGGAGGCTTTTAAGAAGAGGCTGGATAGCCATTTGTCTGAAGTGGTTTAGGGTTCCCTGCCTAAGCAGGGGGTTGGTCTGGAAGACCTCCAAGGTCCCTTCCAACTCTGTTACTCTATATAAAGGAGTTTTGGAGAGCCTGGACCAAGATCAGGCGAGCCATTTTTTTTCACCGCAAAACCTTGTTTTAACCTTAACCAGGCACCTGGAACCAGTTCAGTCGGCATGTGGGAATTTCCACTGTATTGTTTCCCGTTTGGCTACAAAAATCCTCCGAATAAACTCAGTAAACACTTCAAACCAGATACCTGCAAGACTCTTGACTTAGAATTAGGCCCTGGGAAAGATTCCATCTCTTTTTAGAGAAACACCCTCCTTCCCTCATTGTTTATTGTGTAGCATATCTAAACATTGGACGGGGGAACCAGTTCTGCACTGACACACTGCTTGTTCATTACAGAGACGGCTGAAAGCGGATGCCAGGAAAGCGATTGGGCAGCTACAGCTGCGCACGTTGAAACAGGGAGACGAGGTACGACACACACACACACACACACACACGGAGACGGACTCATCCTCTTTCCGTGCAGGTTGCACCATCCCAAAATAAAGGCACCGGCCCAGCCTGATCTTCTTACTGTTCCAGAAAATAACTATATCCCTAATTTGTTGTTGTTTTTTAAACGTCCTATAATGTTGCACAGGGTGCTTAAATCCACGGGATCGCCCTGGAAACAGCGAAGGACCGGCCCGCGGTGCCTCTGCCAGCAAAACCGGAAGTTCTCCCCAGCTCTGTTTTCACTGGCGGGGGTCGCAGGAGGCCATCACAGCCGCAAACAGAGCTTGGGAGCCCATTTTTGTTGGCAGGGTGCTCGGCCCACCCCATCCCCCCAAGGTCAAAACCCACCCTGATGTGGCCCTCCATGAAATCACCCCTGCTCTAACACTTTGCCTCTGGATCAGGGCTCCACAACTCCTGCGCCGTGGACCGGGCCACGGGGCGCCAGAAACCAGGCCACACAAACAAGCAGGAGCCCCCCGATCCGCAGGATGCAGGCAGCAGACGAAATAAATGTTTTCTTGCTCTTTTCTTCTTTAAAGGAAACCGGCCCTGATGCAGACAGCTGCGCGGTGTGCATTGAAGCATACAAACCAAATGATGTTGTTCGAATTTTAACCTGCAAGTAAGTTAATTCTTTTTTTCCCCCTTCCCAATCGTTAAACTTCTCCTTCTCTCTTCCTCTCTGCTCCTGGGAAGCTGTTTTCACTGGCTCAGCTGTTCTTTCTCTCACCATCAATAATTGGCTCAAACAACACTTCTCAGTTGAGTTCAGGTGTAATTGAACATTCTAGATCAGGGGTGTCCAACCTTGGCAGGTTTAAGACTGGTGGACTTCAACTCCCAGAATTCCCCCTGCCAGCAAGGGGAATTCTGGGGTTTGAAGTTCACCAGTCTTAAAAGTTGTCAAGGTTGGAAATCTCTGGTCTAGAATGCCATCATTGCATTTAGCTTTGGATTACCGTACATACATAAATACACACATACATATATATAGACATATAGAGATATAGATTATAAATATAGATTATATATATATAGGGGGAGAGAGACAGACAGACAAAGCATATATAAATAGATGACAGATGGAAGATGGATAGATATGGATGTATAGATAGGCGGAGAGAGAGAGATGATAGATAGATAGATAGATAGATAGATAGATAGATAGATAGATAGATAGATAGATAGATAGATAGATAGATTATAGATAGGACTATTATTTTAAA